TCTCTCTCTCTCACTCTCTCTCTCTTTCATTGTTCCAAAACAATGGATTCGATATGGTCTTAACTCTGCAACGTACCTATAACCGCAGTAAAAGTCTATACACTATACACTTATGCTTCCAAACATTTTAATATCATTTTCCAGTCTGTGAGCCCATAATAGTAAGTTTTGTTTTCCTTTTTAACCCGTTCGCAAAACGTTGAGCCAATCGAAAGCTCAAAAAATGTATGCCCCGCTCATCAGCGTTTCAGTGTCCCTATTATTATTTTTCTCTGGTACGGGAGCGCGCTCATATGACCTTAGCAGTTGCGAGCGCCGTAAAACCCTATACTATACATACATACATACATCTGGTACGGGACTATGTTAAAGTTTAGTTTTAGCTAGAGTTTTACGGCGCTTGCAACACAATGCAGAAATATAAGTGCTGGAGATTTGAACTGTTACAAGAGTATAGCAAACATAAAAAAGAGTGAGGAGAGAATCAGATAAGGGCGATAGGTGTTAGACGGGAAAGAAGAAGCATAATTGGGAGGAGAGAGGTTGGGTTAGCGATTGGGGTAGAGAGGCCGGGGGGGGGGGGAGATGTGAAAGAGTATTGTATGGTCTAAGAAATTGATGGCAATTAGTGAGACGCTTCAATGTAATCTAAACTATAAAGTGCGGTCAAAAAGGCATGGCGCAACTTATTGCGAAATATCTCCTTACCTATCGAACATAGATGCTCCAACTTTTGCACAATGACGTATATCAATTTGTCTTAACAGGTGAATATTTTTCAAACTCCTGAACACTGTATTCTAGAAAATTGATTAATAAACACTAGGTCTAATAAAAAGTCCCAGTCTATAATTTCTACAGATTTTTTAAAGTTTACAGCTCCGGCAATATCGCTTTTAAAAGCAAGTCTGTCATTTTTTTTTCTAATCGCAATAGTATGCTTATTGAACGTATGCTTCCGGAACCTTTAGCGCAAACAATGTGTTCATTATAAATATAGTTCTGTAAGAAGTTTTCCAACTAAAAAGTGTCATTAGCGAGCTGTGACGTAGGCCATGCGCGCATACAAAAGGTGTCTGAGAAGCGGCAAGTGCTGTGAACAATCATAGTTTTGCGTGATGGAGATGTATAGTATTTTATATAAATTTATGAAGAAAAGTTTTTTAATCGGGCCTAATTATTGTGGAAAAATATGATTAAGTTAAGACAAATTGATACTGACTACTGTGAAAGGAATGGATGACATGGGTTCACCCGTTAAAGAGATATTTTGCGATGATGTGGCGTCGGTGGCCTAGTGGTTAGGCTCTCGGACTCGCAACCAAAGGTCGTGGGTTCGAATCCTGTCAGGGACCCGACGTTGTGTACTTGGGAAAGGCACTTTGCACAAATCTTCCTCACTTCACCCAGGTGGAAATGGGTACCCGGCTATAGACAGTGATCTTGTCAGTTTGATAGTGTTTGAGTGCGTGAAATCCGCAGCTTGCACTGTATGCTTCCGCGGAAGCTGAGAATGTTTCTGA